CTGTCCGGCTTTCAGCATCGTCAGCTCTGAGCCCGTTGGAATTTGCAGGACATCAAAGTGGGGTCTGAGGCAGCTGCTGCTAGCTCAGCGTCTAAGAAATTCCTTTTGACACTGCCAAGCTCGTGGAGGGAGAGGATCACCTGCCTGACAGATTTCAGTGTTGCTGGAGTGGTTTCATTTTGAGGAAAGATTCCTGCTACCTACAGATTGGTAAACAGGCATCCAGATTCTAGAAATCTTCATCTTTCCCAGTTTATTAAATCGAGAGTAACTCACTGTAGAACCATCTTGAGGATCCCATCTGTGCGGAAAGTTGAGCAGGTTGAACTTAACTCTACTTCTGGTGAACCTCTAGTCTGTGAGCAGACGAACAACCATTTCCCAAGCTCAAGGGTGGCACTGTCTATGGTGTTTACATGATTTTGTTTAAAAAGCTGGGAATGCAGAGGCAGTTGCTGAGCTTCCTGGTAAAAGATGCAGGGTTCCCGTACAGCACAAGCAAGGGAGAGGGGAGTGTTCAGGGTGGCTGTGGAACAGTCTAGAGTTGCACCTTGCTCACTTTGGCTGTAAATCGTGCGTGTTTTTAATTGTGAAGGAAAATAAAATTGTAGGACACATATGAATACCTGGAAAAACATTTTTTTTTAAATTAACGCCTAATAGGGAAATTCTAATGAAGGATTTTGGAATGTTCTGTATCTTTCTGGGAATGAAACTCCTGGTCCCAACTCCCTATGCCCCTCATAACAGCTAAGTCCATTGTAACTTGCAGTAATTGGTTTTTTATTAAAATAAGAGACTGCAGTATAAGTTTTAGCAACGAGGCTAAAGAGGCATTAACAGGCCCTGGGATCCAACCACAATTTGTAACATCGTTCCTTTGGGAAAATAGATTCTAAGAGCCCAATAACTAACTTACAAATAGACATTTGAGTCATAGTCCATTGGAGAATAAGGAACTGTTTGTGATAGTAATACCTTCGATTGGCTTGCTTGAGAACTACACAGAAGGGACCTATATTCTGCCACACGTGTGTAGTGAACCCAGCTAGTCTGGGTTGGATCAAAGATTATTGCTGAGTGGGCACTGGAAGCCCAGGAATTAAAACCAAAGTAGAGGCTGGAGACAAGTCAGGGGTGCAGTTAAGAGGATGGATCTGGGGACGCCTGGGTGGCTCAGTGGGTTAAGCCACTGCCTTTGGCTCAGGTCATGATCTCAGGGTCCTGGGATCGAGTCCCGCATCGGGCTCTCTGCTCTGCAGGGAGCCTGCTTCCCCCTTCCTCTCTCTCTGCCTGCCTCTCTGCCTACTTGTGATCTCTCTCTGTCAAATAAATTAAAAAAAAAAAAAAAAGAGGATAGATCTGCAGAGGTTTTAGTGGTAAGGGAGGTATTCAGTCTTAGAGGCAAAGGTGTGATTCTGTGCAGATGATGCGAGAGGAGAACAGGACAATCCAGATAGGAACAGAGGGGAGGAATAGAGAACACTGCAAGCAAAAGGAATAGGATACGAGGAAGAAGAAGGATCAACCACAAAACAGACTCTTAACTATAGAGAACAAACTGAGGGTTGCTGGATGGGAGGTGGGGGGTGGGGGAATAGGTGATGGGGATCGAGGAGGGCACTCGTGATGAGCACTGGCTGTTGTATGGAAGTGATGAATCGTTGGCTTCTACACCTGAAATTAATATTACACTGTATGTTAACTCACTGGAATTTAAATAAAAAACTTGGGGGAAAAAAAAAAGAAAGAAAGAAAGGAAAACGTAATGCAAAATGTACCAGGAAGGGGGATGGCCCACGTAGCAACTTAGTAATGTTTGGTGCTCTCTGTGCAACCGGATAGCATGACTGCAGTGTTTCTAACAGCTGGCTGGTCAGCACAGCTTCGGGACATCATTTCACTCCATGGGTATCTCCCGCTCTAAGATGCCTTGTGCTGCCCGTCCCCCCACGTGCTAGCAACCTTCTCTTCCATATTTAGTACTACGCATGTATCTGTCTTGCAGTTACTACATTTTATTAGACAATAAACATGAGCGCGGTTGTTGCATGCTCTCTGTGCTCTCACGTTGTCGTGGTCACAAGCCTCATGTTTTAATCTCCATATCCATGCCAAGAGTAGTCGTGCCGTATGATCAGCGGGCTCGGGGAGTTGTCTTTTGTCTTTGCTCAGTCCGCTCTACCAAAAATACCATAAACTAGGTGGCTTCCAGAAATCGATTCCTTGTGGTTCTGATGGTTGGGAAGTCTGAGATCAAGGTGCTGGCAGGTCCACTGTCTGACAAGGGCTCTCTCTTCCTGGTTTATGGACTGGCTGTGTTCCTGCTGCGTCCTCCTGTGGCTGGAGGGGCAGAGCGGAGTGAGGCGGGGAGAGAGAAAGGGAAGGGAGAAACTCTCTTATAGCTTCTTGTTAAGGGCACTAGTGATATCATATTGTGAGTACTTCCCTGCTGTGATCTAATGACCTCCCAAAGGCCCCGCCTCCAAATACCATCACACTAGGGATTAGGGTTTCAGTGTCTGAATTTTCGGGGGATATAAAGATTTCATCCATAGCACTTTGTGGCCTGAAAGTAATTCAACTTAGTATCATCCGTGTTCCCCAGGCCACTGCGGGCTGTGGCAGTGGAGGCTGTCAGGAAGAGGGGGCCATGTGGGTGACTCTGTGTCCCTGCCTGCCCATGTTGAAATTCCAGCTCCCTTTCAGGTCCTTCCCTACACAACTGATGGAGTGACTGACTGGGTGGGAAGGGGAAGATTGTATATGTCTGAGGAACCACGTTTCTGCCGTTCACAATCTCAGTGCTGGGCACCCTCCCTGCTCATGCCCCAGAGTCTCACACACCTGACAGGTGGGCAGCTGCCAACACTTGGGCTGAGGAAGAAGGGTCCAGTCCGTCTTCCTGAGAGGGCCAGAAATACCTCCAAATGGAGAAAGTACCCTTCATAATATCACTACTGCTGCATATCTTCATTTGTACTGTGCCCCCTTACAAAAACGCCACAGGTGGGGGGCTCCTTATCTCAGGCATCTGTATTTTTCAACCTTTCCCTCCTTAATTCCACAGGGAGGGGGTGGTAATGGGAGTAAAGGACACTGGGCTAGACTGTGCCTCCACGACTGGCATGTTGGTCACAGACCAGATTGGCAGAGCTTGCCTCATCCTTTTGAGGAAAATATTTCCCAGGAGGTTTTTCTGTCCACCACGCATTGACCCCTGGCAAGCACACACCTCAGAATTGCCCGGACTTGTCTGAGCTCCCTGGTGAGCACACCCAGGAGGCCACACCGGGATTTCCCTGAGTGGGTGGGATTTTTTTTTTCTACCCAGGTTCTAAAGGGCAGGCTGTTTGCACAGATAAGGTAAACATAGATGTTTTGTTTGAGATTCAGAATTATGCAACTAATTAAGAGTGAAAAAGTATAAAGTTTCCTTTATTTTTACTAGAAGTCAGTTTTTCTTTTTAGGACACTCTTCTTTCAATTATGCTTCTGTTATTACATTGACAAAGAAGGCATTGTCTGTGATGACATTTATCCACCGCCTGAAGTAGCACCACTGTGTATTTTCCTAGATGTAGGGAATTCTTCATGCATAAATAGTAACCAGAGGAATAATGGGCTTCATTGAGTGCTTATTATGTGCCCAGCCCAGTGTTAAGCAGGTGGCACCGATTAGCTCATTTGTTCGTAACAAAAAGTGCAATGAGGTACCTACTCTTAGCTCTGTTTTACACTTAAGACTTGCTGTTTAAAGAGGCTAAGTAATTTGCCCAAGGTCATAGAGGTAATAAGTAGAGAGTTGGGACCAGACTCTGGGCCATCTGAGCATAGAACGGGGCTCTAGACCATAGTTATGCCTCAAATACATCTTTCTCTTAAGTGTTGTCTCAAGTCTCTTGTTGAGAATGAAAACTGAGCATTAAGGCAATAGAACTTGTGCCTCCCTTTGTGATAATATCAGGTCCTCAGTTTAACTAGAGGTAGAAAGATTCCTGTCCGTTTGACATATTTCTTTAAAATGGTAATTTATGTTATCAGGTGGATAAATTATATGTAAATTTAGTTTAATAACCAAAGGACAGTTGTCCAGACAGAATAATTTCAGCAGACTTTTGTGCTCCCCTCATTAACTTAAACCATATTTTTTATTATGAGCTAAAAATTTCATTCTTAAATTTGAACCAGATATCCTAGTCATAATCATAAACCCACTGGGAAGTCAGACCTACTTTTTTTTTTTAAATCCAAAGAATAATTCTGTGCTTTAATTGCATCTGATTAAGACATCACACCGAGGCACTTGTTTTGGCTGGTAGTAATGTCTTAAAAGGTACTGTTTTAAAATGTTTAATTTGAGTAGATATTTTCTGTAACATGAAAAAAATGATCAGTTTGTGTCTTCTTCTGATGACCCAAGGGGAGAAGTGGTTTAATCTGAAGATCTCAGCAGAGGATAGAAATTAATCTTTTGTGTATATCCCCTAATACTGTTTGGAGGCTTTAAAGATTATCTGTGCAAACTGAGAAATGTTTGCCATTTAAATTTTAGCAACTTTATCTTTTGAGAAAAAAAAAACAACACCATCACACATCTGTGTATATGGAGTTTCCTGCTCAGGAGGCACCAGGAATAATATGTATGTAGTATAAAGGAGGAGGGAGAAAAAGTCATAAGAACCTTAGCAATTAAATTTCCAATGGAGAAGAATTTGGATGTTCTAGTTCAGCCTAGACTGCAACCAGAGTAGGTTATTGTAAATATCAAATGTAAAAAACATTAATGGGGATGTTTTTACCCATAAAACAGACCTGCCAGGCAGTTCGATGGAATTTTAATGTGCATTTATATATATTCACATGAAATTGAACTCTGTGTTTAACATTAGAATGGGCATGTTCTCACTTTAAGGAACTTTGGGTTTTTTTCTTAAGTTCTGTTTTTGATGTACTAAACACATAATAACATGACCCCTCCCCCACAACTCTTGTTTCAGGCAACAAGGGCAGCCATTACACAGCACTGCACTGACCTTGGCAATCTGTTGGGCAAGGAGAATGACGTGGCCCTCATCATCGATGGCCACACCCTGAAGTACGCGCTCTCCTTTGAAGTCAGGAGAAGCTTCCTGGACTTGGCGCTCTCCTGTAAAGCGGTCATATGCTGCAGGTAGGCATGTGCAGGCTGTGTAGGGGTTCACATTCCCACATGGTTGTCTCCTGTGTTTTTATTAAAAAAGATAATGCATGGAAATTATAGGGGTAAAGTTTCATTTAAAAAGCAAGCAAAATAAAAATATTAGTTGAACTGTCCATTCACAGATTTGAGAGCAAGCAGTTAGTGGTTTTTACAGTTTTGTTTCTTATCTTCCAAGAAGATAAAAGAAGAGCCAGGACCTCTCTCCTGGAAGATTAACTGGAATAAGTCTGCCAGGAGCAGGTGTGGGAAGTTAGAAGAGCCCTTTGAACTTGGGTCCTTGGTTCTCCATATCTGAGCTCAACTTCCAAGACCTGTGGAATACACAGTGGTTATTTCTATTCAGTCAGGAAGGAGCTTTGGTTGGGTCTGTGCTATACCAATTTTTGGGTTAGGATCTAACCAGACAACTTTGTTGGGTTTTATTTTTTAAGTTTTTATTTTAATTTCAGCTATTTAACATACAGTGTTATATTAGTTTCAGGTGAAGAACATTGGTTGTTTTTTCATGAAATCTGGGAAGGTTTTTGAGGGTGGGCATTGCTACATTCCATTGACTACTGGCTGTGTGAGATCCAGTTCTAATAGAGATTTGAGAGATCAGAATCATAAAGAAAAAAAAGGGCTAGAAAGATCAGCAGCGCCACCCGAACTGTGCAGCAGACAACTTGAAAGGTGAGAGGAGAGCTGCCCATTTCTGAAAGCACTGTGGTACATGGTTAAAGGCACAATCCATACCATTGGGTTCATAATCTCATTTGTGTTTCCTCTTATATTTTATGGTTACACAGTTTTTGGACATTGTTTTCTTGGGTACTTTGTCAGAAGTCAGTTATCAGGATGCTTTTAAATTCCTCACTGCATTAATACTTTAGGAAGGCCTGTTGGGGATTCGATCATGGTCTGTTCAGAATAATGGCTGTCACATTGACAAGATGGTCTTGCTGTTTCTGCCTTACTCAGAGTCCCTAGTGACATCATCTGCGGTGCCTCTCTACCCAGACCTCTCATGACACTGCCTGTTTGGGATGGCCAGTAAGTCTGGGGGAGGGCTGTTAGGGCCTCCTTTGTCTCCCCAACCTTGCTCCCCACTCCCAGTGGTTCTTATTTTAGACCAAATGATTTGTTGCCATTTCTCCGTGAATACATCTCTGTATTCAGAACACTGAACGGTCTTCACATGATCTCTCTCATTTTACCCTCCTCTCTTGATCCCTTTTTGGAATTTGGAACATGTCATCAAAGGCCAAGGAGAGCTGTGGTGGCGGCTGGTGGAGGCTCCCTGGTAGAAAGGAATGGAGCTGTTGTGCCGTGGTTGTAGGATGTTCAAGGACCTTGGGGGGAAGGAACAAATTCACATGTGTCTGAAACAGTGAAGGAGAACTTGATGTTACCTCTAAGTCGGGAAACTTGGTGCAGCTAAAAGGGACCTGGGATAGTGAGGAATGACCAAAGCATCTGGAAATGAAAGGCTTCCTGGTTTTATCATGGTCTTGGTCTCTTCTTTTTTAACAACTTTATTGAGATATAATTCACATATCATACAATTCACCCAGTTAGAGTGTATAGTTCTATGGCTTTCAGTATATTCAGAGAGTTTTGTAACTTATCACTGCAACCAATTTTAGAATATTTTAATCACCCCCAAAAGAAACCTTCTTATCTATTATTAATCAATCCCCATCCTCCTTCACCCTCCCCAGCCTCCCTCAGTACTAAACAACCACAAATCTGCTTTCTTGTCTGTACACATTTACCAATTTGGGACATTTCATACGAATGCAGCTATATAAGATGTGGTCTTTGATTTCTTTCACTTAGCATAATGTTTTCAAGGTTCAACCATGTTGTAAAATATATCTACATCATTCCTTACCAGCTGAATAATATTCCATTGTATGGCTATACCATTGTTTGTCACCCATCTTGATTAGCTTTTGGATTGTTTATGCTTTTTGACCATTATGAATAATGCTGCTATGACGATTCATGTACAGGTTTTTTTGTATGGACATCTCTTTTCATTTCTCTTGGTTACATACTGAAGAGTAGAAATGCTGGGTCAGCTGCTAAGTCTATGTTTAATGTCTTGAAGAACTGTCAGACTGGTTTCCAAAATGGCTATAGCCTTTTATATTCCCACCAGCAGGTTGTGAGTGTTCTAGCTTGTCCGCATCCATCCATTGGTTTTTATCCGTCTCTTTCATTGTTTAGCCTAGTGGTTGTAAAGTGGTGTCCCATAGTTTTGATTGCATTTCCCTCATGGTTAATGATGTTGAGCATCTTTTCCTGTGCTTATTGGCCATTTGTATATATTCTTCTTTTTTTTTTTTAAGATTTTATTTACTTGAGAAAGAGTGAGAGCGAGAATGAGAGAGAACGCGAGAGCGCACAGAGGGAGAGGGAGAAGCAGACTCCAAACTGAGCAAGGAGCCCTGCTTGGGGCTTGATCCTAGAACCTTGGGATCATGACCTGAGCTGAAGGCAGATGCTTAACCGACTGAGCCACCCAGGTGCCCCCATTTGTATATATTCTTTGGGGAAATGTCTTTTCAAGTCCATTTTTAAATTGGATTGTTTGTCTTTTTATTATTGAGTTGTACCAGTTCTTTATGTATGCTGAATATATGTGTCTTATCGGAAATACGGTTTACAAATATTTTCTCCCATTCTATTGGCTATCTTTCATCTTCATGAAAGTATTGTTGACAGCACAAAAGATTTTAATTTTGGTGAAGTCCGATGTATCTGTTTATTCTTTCACTCTGTGCTTTGGTGTCCCGCCTAATGGCTCCCTTTTTTAAGTAGCTAATACTGTGCTTTCTTTCCTGGGCTCCATTTGGGCAATTTAGCTCAGGGACATGCAAATGGCAAGAAGGGGAGGCGTTGTGGTGAAACACTCTTTTCTGGTAGTTTCCTCTGTGTCTGTGTTGTGAAGCTACTGAGTAGGTCCCTGATTTCTGTGAGGTCCTCAGCCCTAGAGATTGTCACTGTCCCACCTAGAGCCAGAAGTCATGGTGAGGGAGTTCCTCTCCCTGCCAGCTGTGAGTTGGTCAAAGGGCCATTACCCTGACTTGTCGGTGAGCAGAAACAAGCAAGCAACAAGAAACAACATGGAAAAGTCTGGTAAACTGTAAATCAAAGTGAACATGCTCTCACTTCATGGTTTTTCAAAGGGAAATCAAAACGAGTCCATTTGGATTCTCCAGGGAGAGCAGGAATGCCTTTAAGCCTTTACAGGAACACGTTCTTTGCTTGCCAGGTGCTTGATACTAAAGAAAAACATCTTTTTCCCTTTCTTTCTTTGGCTGGGCTTTGTGTGTCACATAAAGCTGTACACTCAAAGACTTCCCAGGAAGGAGTTCAAACTGGAATTGGCACAGAAAGAGGAAATTTCAAATTAAATACTGTTACTGTCTAAAAAATAGAAGCGCTAATTGAAAAAAGGAATCTAGGATAGTGTACTACTTTACCGCTCCGGGAGACATTTCTTGGCTGGTCTCACACTCAAGATTTACCAAAAAAAAAAAAATAATAATAATAAGAAATCAACACATACCTTTTTTTTTAAATAAAAACACTCGTGTACTTCAGATGTTGCTTACTATTCACTGAGAATTTAAACCTAAGTTAAATTTAATGTGACTTCAAACATAAGGTTAACCTTAATTCTTACTTTTCATCTTTAAAATGCAATCATTGTAAAGGTTACCCTTTTCTCTAATAATAGAAGAAAATAATTTCTTTTGCAAAATAACTTCAGTGATATCATGAAGCTCTGTCAGCCATTAATATTGATTCAGAGACCGGTGAATGTTTTATAAAAACTGATAAATACTTCTAAGCTGAAACTGTTTTAGGCAGAAAATGGGGGAAATAATGCAAGAATTTGTTGAATAGTTTGCTGACATTAGACTCAAACAATTTAGCTAATTATATATTATTATACCCAAATATTTTCCGTGTAGTTAAAATCCTAGAAAGGTCATAAAAAGGCCAGGAAAACAGGTACAGGTCAGTACTCTCCTGTGGCTTACTGTTGTAGCTGCCAGGCATATTGCCACATTATTTGTTGAGGTATAAACTGATTGGCCTAATGACATTTTTGTGGTAGGCTTGATATCTGTCCTGTATGTTCCTGGGTGTCATGGAACAGTGAGTAAGAGTATATTACAGTACTCGCCTCTCTTCTACTTCATGTTTCATGTGGGCCTCAACTCTTTGAAAGCAGGGCCTCAGTGAAGCTAACAGTCCCCAGACTCTATGACCTCCATCTTGCCATATGCAAAAGAATCAATTTTTTTATTGATTCCTCCTCAGCGGCTGATGTCAATGGCTCCCCCACAAAGGATTCTTTTCTATTTCTGTGGCACTTCTTTTTCCTCCTACGTATGTATGTTCCTTATGGGATCTTTTCAGCAGTCTTTGACATGTTGTATTTCCAAGGTTTTACCTTTGGCCTTATCACATTCCCACCCATATCTTCCCCTGGGTGCATTCCATTTATTTTCATGGTTTCATTCATCTTCTGTATTAGTGATTCTCAACTCCCGAGTTTACACTGAATCATCTAGAGAACTTACACAATTTGTTTTCTTCAAAAATTTAAATATGGGATTATACTATGACCCAGCAATCCCACTGCTAGGTGTGTAACCCACAGAATTAAAAATGGGTAATCAAAAAACTTGCATGTTCATGTTCATAGCAGTACTATTCGCAATAGCCAAAAGATAGAAACAACCCAAGTGTCCGTTAATGGATGAATGGATAAACACAGTGTGGTATATCCATACAGTGGGATATTATTTGGATTAGACACAAAGAGGAAAAAGCACAGATACACATGCTACAATATGGATGAAGTTCAGACGCATAGCTGGTGGAAGAAGCTGTCACAAAAGATCACATATTACATGATTCCGTTCATAAAATAATCCGAATGAGTAAATCCATACAGACAGAAGGCAGAT